CGACCACTGAAAGTCTGGAATTAGGTCAGGATCACAAAGGGTTAAATCTATGGATGAAACGTTTAGGTTATTTGAATTTTGAAATGTTGGGGAATTGTCGTTAAAAATACTAGTACTGGTTTTTATTAAGAAATCTTCTATGATTTTACCTTTAGTGTCAGTTTGTTCATTTCCCCAAAGAGGGCTATGGGCATTAAAATCTCCCAACATGATGAAGGGTTGTGGGAGCTGGTCTCTGAGGTTTATTAGTTCTCTTAAAGATAGAGGATAATTTGGGGGGATGTATATTGAACAGATAGTTATAGGACGGTGTAGGGTGACCCTGACCGCAACTGCTTGAAGTGTTGTGTTTAGTTGTATTTGTCTGTGTAGTGTTTGGTTATTTATTAAAATGGAGTTGCCCTCAGAGGCGATTTGGTTGTCGGTGTATATTTGGTTGTAAGTTTGATAGTTTTTTAATGTGAATGTGGGTGTTGGCAATTTAGTTTCTTGTAGACAGATTACATTTGGGGTGTGTGAAGTCAAAAGATAAGAGAGTTCTGCCTGGTTTGCACGCAAACCGCGAATGTTCCACTGAAGAACTGCCATTTTAATTTATTTTGAAGGCACGGGTTCGATACATTTTTTTTTGGTCGTTGGTGACCTTTGTCTTTGTTTTGTTTTGCTGCGGTCACGGTGGACCGCAGCCTTTTTTGAGGGAGAGTGTGGAGGGGGAGGAGGACCGGAGTCCTGGATGCGGGTAGAGGAGGGGGAGCGGGTGCGGGGAGTGGGTGGAGGGGCTTTATTGGATGAAGGATGATGGGATGGAGGTGATGATGGAGGTGAAGATGAAAATGTAGTTGGCGGTGGGGGTGAAGATGAGCGTGGTGAGGATGAGGATGTGGATGAGGATGATGTATGTGAGGATGAAGATGGTGGTGAGGATGAGGATGGTTGTGATGATGAAGGTGGAGATGGTGAGGGTCCTGGGGGTGCAGATGTCGAGAGAGGTTTTGGAGGGGATGTTTGGAGTGAGAGCTCCATGTCCTCCTCCTGGCTATCGTGGCGCTTTTGGGGGTTTATATTTTTATTTGACGTACGTGGCGCCTTCACGGTTTGGTATTTTACTTTTTCGTTGTCAGCATTTCTGGGGCCTGCCTTGGCAGCGTCTGCGTAAGTTGTTTTCTGTGTTGATTCCAATCCCAT